TTTTTTTCCCCAAATATAAACTTATTGTTTCATAATCCAAAACCCATAAAAAGATGTCTACTTAATCCATCAAGTCAACAGCAACAACTACCTCCCAAGGTTCAACGTACTATAAACAATTCATCGTTATCTGAAGTAATAAAACATCATCATAACTCACTGCTGTTTAAACAAACAATATAATGTCATAATAAAATGATCAATTATCAAATATCGTTCCTTATTCAACTATCGAGACATGTTCTCCATTAGTTAATCGTCTCCACAAAGCAATACTACCTAATAACATATTCTCATTCTCCTAAATATTAATCAATAAAACATCCAATTCACCAATATGCTATTTCAATTACTATGTTATCCTATCCGACATAGATTGGTAGGACATCTTCCCTATAATGTTATCAACGAAACCAGTAATCCACATCAATAACATCAATGTAAAAGATTTGCTTTCTGTCCCCTACTGGATTCGAACCAGGGACCCTCTGCACACATTGACAACTTTCACCATAAAAGTACCATTACCCGTCGCTCCACCAGTGCCACACAAAGCATCTACTTCCAGTTCATAGAGCAAATGACATCACCCAACGAAAACCACACTAGCTTTCACCTCTAACTAGCTAGCAATCTCCTGCCAATAACATTCCACAACCTCCCACACCACGCGATCCCCGTACACCTAACGTACCCATAACGTCCATTATAGCGCTCTCATGTTTCAGCAAGTTTAACATCCACAGAGAAAAAATTGGAAATTCTTCAATTTTTCCTAGCAGACGAAATAAAACCACTTTCAAACAGCATTCTGCATTTACCTCTATCATAGGGTTTAAAAACCCCACTTAACAACATTAACCATCCTAATATGCCATAGTAACGTCATGTTTGGTTCAATATATCTATTACCATATAAGACATTCACTTCTCCATGCGTAGTAAACTATATCCTATTTCTCCTGTAATCAACTAAAATCATAGCCACACAATTAAACCATCACTCCGCCATTACAGAATGAATGAGATCTATTAATCTATCCTTTCTAAGTAAGCTACAAGTAACACCAAACACTTGCTATAGTTTACCTCATATATTGAAATCATCCATTTATCACAATCCAATTTATTTATAGACATATTCCACCATTGTCACTCGTTTAATCTAGCAAAACCTCATTCAATGACTAAAAATTATTACCACGTAGTCTCCTCTCCATACCCGTTAACATTTTAGCAGATGCTCTTTTTCCAAACAACACTCACTTCGTGAGCTCATACATTCCTTTACTTATACTAGCCCCCCTTGGGAATCGAACACCCAACCCTGGCGTTGTAAGCACCGTGCTCTACCAACTGAGCTACCCACAGATAAGCGTATAGCGCCCTTTTCTGATAATGTTATAATTGTAGCCTATTGCATTACTTTTGTTTAAAATATACGTTTGTTTAGTCAACAAATCTAGAACCCACTATAAATGGGTGCTTATTCACTCAGCATAATAACCAAAAGCTCCTTGCATCCCCTAGTTCACGTAATGAAATTACATTATCATTCTACAATTCACCAAATATTCGCATACACCACTGGTGACGCAAACCATAGAATAAAATAATAACAATTAGAATTTTGTCAAATAGATGTTTTCCATCCAACTATTCAAAATTTCTTTAAATAACTATTTCAGCTCAATACAGTCAAACAAGTATAACTCTCTTTTTACCGGAAACTAATTCATGCTTTTAGTAAAATCTATTCACATCCCAACAATAGCCAATAATATATGTATATTAATATTATTAAAATACCTTACTTTCATTCCAGTCTACCTAAACAATTCAAATTATGGCCAAATCTCTTATCCAAATTGCCAGTCCGCTATTCAAATGTAACTGTCCTTTCTGATTTAGACTATAGACACTCCTCCTTTCCCGTTGAATAAGTGAGTCCTTCAGTCTGAAAAGACGCAGGCTACTAGATCTTCCAATCTTATCCTGACTGTTCCTTCAATCTAAACAACCCCCAACTATAGTTAAACTATACGTAGAAAACCTAGACTCTGTTCAGCGATGCAGAACCCATGCTTTATCGAAATGACAAGTTAATCCTCTTTTATTCCAATGATAATAGTCAGTAGTATTAGTATCTGGAACATACCACACTTTATCAGAAAATAGTTCTGAAGGACACAGTTCTCACAAGCTCAACGTAATCAACTTAGCAGTCAACAAGTCAAACCCCACATTCATTGATTTGGAAACAGATCTAACAACCTAACCAAATGAATTATATATCTGCTTCTGAAATAATATATAGTTTATTATTATGCTTAATTCTACCACATGTCCTATGTACTCTCTCCCATTTCCACATCCACCTACGTTTTTGAACAAGTCAACACCTATAATTTTATTATTTTACGTAGTCAATTTATCATAATACTGCATTACCTCTAACGTTTCTAAATATATCGTCCAAACATACCCTAACAGATGTATCAAAATACAATGCATAGACGTCATATGACCACACCAATAAACGTGACCTGTTCCTCCAACAGGATTTATTCTACCCCTCCTGGTAACGTGAATTTTCTACACTCAGTTGGTCAATGAATATCCACGCACCATTTATTCTTCTCTTTCCTAAGTGTTTGGGCACACCCTTTCTCCATCAGACAGAAGCTTCAACCAACCTCAAATAGATTTCCCTTCCTTACAGAAAGACTATCTACTTACAGGATTTAATATTATATTCTCACTCACACAGATGAGCAGACCTACTCTATATATAACACTTTATCAAAATTTGGAAGCCCTTGTAGCTATTTAACCCGTTCACCTACTCAGGATGACCTAACTTTTTTTCCTGATAGACCCTACATAATATTGACATCATCACAACACAGGATGATTCACTACTTACCTGTACAGACCTCTAACAAATAATTTATCATCAGAGCGGTATCCGTAAGTAGTCACTTGTCTGTTCAGGCCAATGGAATGCTAATTATAGCTATCCAAAGCGGTATCCACAAGATTTCTATTTATACTACACTTTCCTAAGTGACCTGTCAATTCTGCCCTAATTTTTCTGTTACACTTCCTCAACACAGAAAAAGAAGCGGTATTACCCCAGGATTTCTGCCTACCTATGCAGTCCTCAAGACGATTCACTTCCCCAACACGTCTAAAGCGGTATCTGTAGGACTTAACATGTTATTGTCTGATCGCTCAACCAGCCGTACAACCACCCATGTCAAAATGACCCAGACAGAGCAATCAGCAAGATGAATCAACTGAATCAAATGAATCAAATCAATTGAACAGACGGTTCAGACAAACAACAGCAACATGTATTCTTAAATTCAAATGCTCCTAGTGTCTAACTTTCTGGTTCTTAAATTTGGAGAGACCTACTTGGTATTTCTTTAGATGTTGCCGAGCCCCGGATCGGACCACACAAACTTTATACTATTTTAGTAAGAACTTCTTACCTTTTTAAAAGCAGCCGCTTTTGTTTGTATGGTCCGTCCAAGCCGTTTCACAACTGCAAATACATACCGTCACTGATCCCTATCAAGTCCTGCCGGGGTCGCCAATTATGTTGTAGAAACATTTTACTAGATAATTAACTCAAAAATATCTCTCAAGACATCAGAGCCTGTGAATTTAAGAATTTAGACTTTATTTAAAAAACAAAGCCGAGCCTTTTTCCAAAGAGACAAAGACTGTCCCTTTTTCGCCAAGAGCTCAATTTTATAGCCACATGTACAAACATTCCTAACTTTTTTTTAGTTCGTACCACCCTCTCATTCGATCATTCTATTGGCTGCGTGCCTAGGCCCCTTCTCAAAAGCCCCTTCTTAAAAAACTAATGTAAATGCAAACCAGATGTCTAGAACAACCCCATGGCCTCAGTTTAAAAAAAACCTGTAAAATAACACATCATATCCTTAATGTCTATATTCATTATTTAAACATATATCTGGATTATAAAATATCAAACATGTTCATTCTGTTTCACCATTATCATTTCATAATACATTATACAACATTTATCATTCATCATCCTCTCCAGCCCCTGAGATTATGTGCATGTGGCCATGTCTCAGGTCATAAGGTCATAAACATAAAGAAACGCAAACACTAGCTCCATTGTTACTTCTATCTCCACAGCCATCACGTCATTCACATTCCTAAACCAGCTGCAGAAGTTTTCATGAAAAACACATAATTATCTCTGCTCTGAATTCAACTGGCTCTCAATCCATAAACACTCCAAGGCATATAGATTTTCAATTTTACAACATATCCATGCTTATTACTAATATTACCTTTACCTTTGACCTTTCCCTACGTTTACCTTCATGATACATAAAATAACACCACACTGTCTCCTCACTCCTTCCTTGAATCTGACCCCACTCTCTCTGTCTCCTCACTCCTTCCTTAAATCTGACCCCATTCTCTCTGTCTCCTCTCTCCTCCCTCTGACCCCACTCTATCTGTCTCCTCTCTCCTTCCTTGACTCTGACCCCACTCTCTCTGTCTCCTCTCTCCTTCCTTGACCCTGACCCCACTCTCTCTGTCTCCTCTTCTTCCTTGACTCTGACCCCACACTCTCTGTATCCTCTCTCCTTCCTCTGACCCCACTCTCTCTGTCCCCTCTCTCCTTCCTTTGACCCCACTCTCTCTCCCCTCTCTCCTTCCTTGACTCAGACCCCACTCTCTCTGTCCCCTCTCTCCTTCCTTTACTCTGACCCCACTCTCTCTGTCTCCTCTCTCCTTCCTTTACTCTGACCCCACTCTCTCTGTCTCCTCTCTCCTTCCTTTATTCTGACCCCACTCTCTCTGTCTCCTCTCTCCTTCCTTTACTCTGACCCCACTCTCTCTGTCTCCTCTCTCCTTCCTTTATTCTGACCCCACTCTCTCTGTCTTCTCTCTCCTTCCTTTACTCTAATGCTTCTTTCTCTCTGCTTCTCTCTGTCTCCACAGCCAGCCAGGCCAGAGACCTGTTGTGTAAGATGTTGATTATTGATCCAGCCAAGCGGATACAAGTTGACGAAGCCTTACAGCATCCATACATCAACGTTTGGTACGACCCAGCCGAGGTGGAGGCGGTGAGTAGGAGGAGTCTGTAGCTAGAAGTCTCTGGCAGCCTTATCAATTAGTAGCCCTAACTCCATCCTATAGATCGGTACTTGTTTAGTTTGGGCTGTTTACATCTGCCTTGTGTTTTTGTATTTGTGGTGTGTAGATATATCGGTAAATGGGACAGCTTTCTTTTTATGTTCAATTCCCCTCTCATAATGGTTACTATAGAAACCATCCAGAGAAACATTTATGTTGTTGTTGTTAGTTCGCATCTCATAATATACATGTTTTTTTCACCCCTGCATGTTCTTGACCTTTTATGGCTACCCCTTTACCCACCACAGCTTATCTGGCATTAGGTAGTCATGGAAACATATTATACGCATGTTACTGACGATCATGTACTGTAGAGACATCCCAGTGTGCTCAACTGGTTGTTTTCCCCATAGAAATACATACTATGGTTTCTACTTCTATGGTTTTACCTGCTGGAATGTGCTCGATTCCTCAAATAGGACACAGATACAATACACTGTCTCACTGCTGCTCACTGCTTTGGGAGAATACAGTACAGTTCATTCTCATCCAGGAGTTGTGCTATAAGGATAGTTCTTACTGGATCATGTAGCAGGCATTTCTTAAGGTGTGCTGGTTATGTGGTTTAAGTGTAGTCATTCCCTCTTAAATACCTTCATCACCGTGGGGTGATAGTGAGTTCGGGGGAAAAAAGCTGTTTGCAGCCTGTGTCTTACTTGATGAAGACTTTAGATGCAATTCACACCAAGTAGGCCTATCTGCTTATGCATAACGCAATACAGTGTGGCGTGGCCTTCTCTGAACTGTAACCCAGTGAAGCAGACAGAACTGGGGTGCTGTATGAGAAGGTAACCTCTCTGTTAGCCTGCAACCCATAACTGATACAATCTGTTCCCAATAGTGAAATGTAGTATATTGGTATATTAGTTTGGATTTCAGCGTACGACTTTATATGAAAGAGGTGTGCAAGTATACAGTATCAAAGACTCTCAACAAGATCAATCAAATATACAGTATCAAAGACTCTCAACAAGATCAATTAGGTCGATTTTAATCAAGTTTATTTTAATTTTCTTATTTGCGATAAATTACACACCTTCACTATAATAACTATGTTTGACAGTTTGAATATACATTTTCAAGTATGTTATTATATAATATTGTGTAATATGTACATTTCATTTGTAGCATGTCTCATTCTTTTGTGAAAACATACATTTTAGTTAATCAAAGCAAAAATGACCAAAAAGTGACATCTTACTGTTATATGATGATGGTATATTATATGTTGTTGTATAGATGTGATATATAGATTATATTGGCCATCTATGGCATTACAATCTCCCTGAAACCAATGTACTGTTTTTTCCCCTCTTTATTGTTTATTTCATGCTGATGAAGGCCAGGGATCTCGTCCAAATATCAATGGTAAATAAAAACCGACTTACATCAAGATAAATATATCTCCTATACAGCATTACAAACATGATATGACCACATATGACCACATATGACCACATATGACCACATTTGACCACATATGACCACATATGACCACATTTGACCACATATGACCACATATGACCAGATATGACCAGATATGACCAGATATGACCACATATGACCACATATGACCACATATGACCACATATGACCACACATGACCACATATGACCACACATGACCACACATGACCACATTTGACCACATTTGACCACATATGACCACATATGACCAGATATGACCAGATATGACCAGATATGACCAGATATGACCACATATGACCAGATATGACCACATATGACCACATATGACCACATTTGACCACATATGACCACATATGACCACATATGACCACATATGACCAGATATGACCAGATATGACCAGATATGACCACATATGACCAGATATGACCACATATGACCAGATATGACCACACATGACCACATTTGACCACATATGACCACATTTGACCACATATGACCACATATGAACAGATATGACCACATATGACCACATATGAACAGATATGACCACATATGACCAGATATGACCACATATGGCTTTACAAAACTCTACCACATGTATTTGGGGGCAGCAAAACAAAACCCCATCTTCAGCAGTTTTTCACTGACCAAAATTGAGAAATGTGTCATATACACTCTTAGAAGTAAAAGCGCTACCTAGAACCATAAAGGGTTCTTTGGCTGTCCCTGTAGGAGAATAGCACGTTTGGTTCTAGGAGTGTACAGAATGGAGAGCATTACAAACATGATATAACCAGATATGACCAATGTTGCACTATCCTAAGGAACCCTCATACCTCAGACAAAAAATATATATATATTGTTGTCTATCGACAATGACAAGCCACCAGGGTCTGACAACTTGGATGGAAAATTACATGAGGATGATAGCGGACAATATTGCCACTCCTATTTGCCACCTCTTCAATCTAAGCCTACAGAAAATTGTGTGCCCTCAGGCCTGGAGGGAAGCCAAAGTCATTCCACAACACAAGAATAGCAAAGCACCCTTTACTGCCTCAAACAGCTGACCAATCAGCTGACGAGATACAATTCTATTTCACAGTAAACAAATTATCAACAGACTTTAGCACGCCTATAGGGAAGGGCACTCAACATGTACGGCATATGTGTTATGGCTTTACATCCCCTGCTATATCATGGATCGAGAGTTACCCATCTAACAGAACACAGAGGGTATTCTTTAATGAAAGCCTCTCCAACATAATCCAGGTAGAGTCGGGCATTCCCCAGGGCAGCTGTCTAGGCCCCTTACTTTTTTCAATCTTTACTAATGACACTGCCACTGGCTCTGAGTAAAGACTGTTTGTATATGTACGCTGATGGCTCAACACTATGCAAGTCAACTACTACAGCAAGTGAAATCACTGCAATACTTAACAAAGAGCTGCAGTCAGTTTTAGAATATGTGGCAAGAAGTAAGCTAGTCCTAAATATATCAAAAACTAAAATAAATATATTTGGGACAAATCATTCACTAAACCCTAAACCTCAACTAAATATTGTAATGAATAATGTGGAAATTCAGCAAGTTGAGGTGACTAAACTGCTTGGAGTAACCCTGGATTGTAAACGGTCGTGGTCAAAACATATTGATGCAACGGTAGCTAAGATGGGGAGAAGTCTGTCCGTAATAAAGCGCTGCTCTGCTTTCTTGACATCGCTATCAACAAAACAAGTCCTACAGGCCCTAGTTTTGTCTCACCTGGACTAATGCCCAGTTACACGGTCAAGTGCCACAAAAAGGGACATAGGCAAATTACAGTTGGACCAGAACAGAGCAGCACGGCTGGCCCTTAAACGTACACAGAGAGCTAACATCAATGACATGCATGTCAATCTCTCCTGGCTCAAAGTGGTGGAGAGATTGACTGCATCAGTAGTTGTCTTTGTGAGAGGTATTGACATGTTGAAAGCAAAGAGCTGTCTGTTTAAACGACTAGCACACAGCTGACACCCATGCATACCCCACAAGACATGCCACCAGAGGTCTCTTCACAGTCCCCAAGTCCAGAACAGACTATGGGAGGTGCACAGTACTACATAGAACCATGACTACATGGAACTCTATTCCACATCATGTAACTCATGCAAGCAATAGAATCAGATTAAAAACCCCCAGATGAAAGTACACCTTATGGAACAGCTGGGACTGTGGGGAGACACACACAGACACAAACAGGTATACGCACACACATGCTAACACACACTCTTGCATGTACATTAATATTGTTATATTGCTGTATTATGGATTTTTGTATTGTAGATATGTTGTGGTAGAGTAGTGTGTAGTAATGTGTGATGTGTGATGTGCAGTTTTTTATTTTGTATGTAGCTGCTTTAATCCTGTTTGGACCCCGTTAAGACTAGCAGCAGCTAATGGGGATCCGTAATAAATACTCAAATACAAAGTCAATGCAGAGAAGATGTGACAGGATGTATGTGTGCTGTGCATGTCTATGTGGCTTTCTCCTCACCAATAGGAAGCAATATACCGTCTGGCTGCATCCATGAATACGGGAGCCATTTTTTCACTGTAGAAGTATGAGTTGATGTGACGATGAAACTGCAGGAAACCATGCTGTAGCCTGCTGTACTCTGTCACATCTGGACAGAACGTCTACGCTGTCTTATTACAATCTTAAAATGTGTGAAAAATCTTATAGATTTGATGAATGGGTTCGTAACACACCTCCTAAATATTCAAGTTGTTTCATCCTCCCCCACGGGGGGGCCAGTATGAATAATCTATGCACTCACTAATTGTAAATCGCTCTGGATAAGAGCGTCTGCTAAATGACTGAAATGTCAATTGGATCGCTAAAAAAAAATTTGTAGGCATACGCTCAAATTAATATGCCATTTAGCAGACGCTTTTATCCAAAGCGACTTACAGTCATGCGTGCGTACATTTTTACGTATGGGTGGTCCCGGGGATCGAACCCACTACCCTGGCGTTACAAGCGCCGTGCTCTACCAATTGAGCTACAGAGCGTAGTGTACTGGACACATGCAGCATGTACGGTATCTCAAGATACTGCTGAACTTTGCTCAGGCTCACCCTTTCACTTTGATTGATTGGTGTTCTTCTCAACAACCATCCGTCTCGTGACAAAACACTGAGTCCTTGGAAGCAGCATGCAATGTTATATCCCAGTAGTGCACGTACAGATAGACCTCTTAATTAACCTACTTCCAAGGTCACATCATGAATGTGATTTTATAACATGTCTCGTCAAAAAATCTTCATAACGTTTGACAGACGGATAGGGAAGGAGACGATAGTGTTAGAGTTGAGGGTAGCTGGAGGAGTACTGAGGAGATAAACATAATTGACAGGTGTCAGTCAGTCAGTTGATGGCTGACACGCCTATTAGTATGTTACATACAACAACACAGTCAGATGGAATAGTGGGAGGGGGCTGGATTGTACGCTCTACAAGTTATATATATATATTATTATTATTATTACATCCACAGAGGAGTTGTTGTCCTTATGCCTGTCAATCATCTAATGATAAAGGAAAACTACAGTAGATCATCTTGGTTGTGCAGAGATTCATTCTCATGAGAGCGGCATTGATTTGTAAAATAGTGTAAAATATATCCTAGAATCATCCCAACCCACCCCTGTACCTAAAATATCTTAACATTCTTTGTTCTCATCATTATCTCTGTTCTACCTTTACCTGTCCTATACTATAGGCCTGTCCTGTCCTATACTATATACTCCTGTCCTATACTATAGGCCTGTCATCTCCTCCTGTACTATACTATACTCCTGTCCTATATTATACTCCTTTCCTATACTATACCCCTGTCCTATACTATACACCTGTCCTATACTATACACCTGTCCTATACTATAATCCTGTCCTATACTATACTCCTTTCCTATACTACACCCCTGTCCTATACTATACTCCTGTCCTATACTATACTATACTATACTCCTGTCCTATACTATACTCCTGTCCTATACTATACTCCTGTCCTATACTATACTATACTATACTCCTGTCCTATACTATACTCCTGTCCTATACTATACTCCTGTCCTATACTATACTATACTATACTCCTGTCCTATACTATACTCCTGTCCTATACTATACTCCTGTCCTATATTATACTCCTGTCCTATACTATACTCCTGTCCTATATTATACTCCTGTCCTGTCCTATACTATACCCCTGTCCTATACTATACTCCTGTCCTATACTATACCCCTGTCCTATACTATACTCCTGTCCTATACTATACACCTGTCCTATACTATACTCCTGTCCTATACTATACACCTGTCCTATACTATACTCCTGTCCTATACTATACTCCTGTCCTATACTATACTCCTGTCCTATACTATACTATACTATACTCCTGTCCTATACTATACTCATGTCCTATACTATACTCCTGTCCTATATTATACTCCTGTCCTATACTATACTCCTGTCCTATATTATACTCCTGTCCTGTCCTATACTATACCCCTGTCCTATACTATACTCCTGTCCTATACTATACCCCTGTCCTATACTATACTCCTGTCCTATACTATACACCTGTCCTATACTATACTCATGTCCTATACTATACACCTGTCCTATACTATACCCCTGTCCTATACTCATGTCCTATACTATACCCCTGTCCTATACTATACTCCTGTCCTATACTATACACCTGTCCTATACTATACTCATGTCATATACTATACCCCTGTCCTATAATATACTCCTGTCCTATACTATACTATACTCCTGTCCTATACTATACCCCTGTCCTATACTATACTCCTGTCCTATACTATACCCCTGTCATATACTATACTCCTGTCCTATACTATACCCCTGTCCTATACTATACTCCTGTCCTATACTATACACCTGTCCTATACTATACTCCTGTCCTATACTATACTCCTGTCCTATACTATAATATACTCATGTCCTATACTATACTATACTCCTGTCCTATACTATACCCCTGTCCTATACTATACTCCTGTCCTATACTATACCCCTGTCCTATACTATACTATACTCCTGTCCTATACTATACCCCTGTCATATACTATACTCCTGTCCTATACTATACCCCTGTCCTATACTATACTCATGTCCTATACTATACATCTGTCCTATACTATACTCCTGTCCTATACTATACCCCTGTCCTATACTATACTATACTCCTGTCCTATACTATACTATACTCCTGTCCTATACTATACCCCTATCCTATACTATACTCCTGTCCTATACTATACCCCTGTCCTATACTATACTATACTCCTGTCCTATACTATACCCCTGTCCTATACTATACTCCTGTCCTATACTATACCCCTGTCCTATACTATACTATACCCCTGTTCTATACTATACTCCTGTCATATACTATACCCATGTCCTATACTATACCCCTGTCCTATACTATACTCCTGTCCTATACTATACCCCTGTCCTATACTATACTATACTCCTGTCCTATACTATACTCCTGTCCTATACTCCTGTCCTATACTATACACCTGTCCTATACTATACTCCTGTCCTATACTATACTCCTGTCCTATACTATACTCCTGTCATATATTATACTCCTGTCCTATACTATACTCCTGTCCTATACTCCTGTCCTATAATATACTCCTGTCCTATATTATACTCATGTCCTATACTATACTCCTGTCCTATATTATACTCCTGTCCTATACTATACTCCTGTCCTATACTCCTGTCCTATATTATTCTCCTGTCCTATATTATACTCCTGTCCTATATTATACTCCTGTCCTATACTATACTCCTGTCCTATACTCCTGTCCTATACTATACTCCTGTCCTATATTATACTCCTGTCCTATATTATACTCCTGTCCTATACTCCTGTCCTATACTATACTCCTGTCCTATATTATACTCCTGTCCTATACTATACTCCTGTCCTATACTCCTGTCCTATATTATACTCCTGTCCTATATTATACTCCTGTCCTATACTATACTCATGTCCTATACTCCTGTCCTATACTATACTCATGTCCTATACTCCTGTCCTATACTATACTCCTGTCCTATAATATACTCCTGTCCTATATTATACTCCTGTCCTATACTATACTCCTGTCCTATATTATACTCCTGTCCTATACTATACTCCTGTCCTATACTCCTGTCCTATAATATACTCCTGTCCTATATTATACTCCTGTACTATACTATACTCCTGTCCTATACTCCTGTCCTATATTATACTCCTGTCTTATACTCCTGTCCTATAATATACTCCTGTCCTATATTATACTCCTGTCCTATACTATACTCCTGTCCTATACTCCTGTCCTATACTATACTCATGTCCTATATTATACCCCTGTCCTATATTATACTCCTGTCCTATATTCCTGTCCTATAATATACGCCTGTCCTATATTATACTCCTGTCCTATACTCCTGTCCTATAATATACTCCTGTCCTATACTATACTCCTGTCCTATATTATACTCCTGTCCTATACTCCTGTCCTATAATATACTCCTGTCCTATATTATACTCCTGTCCTATACTATACTCCTGTCCTATACTCCTGTCCTATACTATACTCCTGTCCTATACTATACTCCTGTCCTATATTATACTCCTGTCCTATACTATACTCCTGTCCTATACTCCTGTCCTATATTATACTCCTGTCCTATACTATACTCCTGTCCTATACTATACTCCTGTCCTATACTCCTGTCCTATATTATTCTCCTGTCCTATACTCCTGTCCTATAATATACTACTGTCCTATATTATACTCCTGTCCTATACTCCTGTCCTATAATATACTCCTGTCCTATATTATACTCCTGTCCTATACTATACTCCTGTCCTATATTATACTCCTGTCCGATATTATACTCCTGTCCTATACTCCTGTCCTATACTCCTGTCCTATATTATACTCCTGTCCTATACTATACTCGTGTCCTATATTATACTCCTGTCCTATATTATACTCCTGTCCTATACTATACTCCTGTCCTATACTCCTGTCCTATAATATACTCCTGTCCTATATTATACTCCTGTCTTATACTCCTGTCCTATAATATACTCCTGTCCTATACTATACTCCTGTCCTATATTATACTCCTGTCCTATACTCCTGTCCTATAATATACTCCTGTCCTATATTATACTCCTGTCCTATACTCCTGTCCTATAATATACTCCTGTCCTATACTATACTCCTGTCCTATACTCCTGTCCTATACTATACTCATGTCCTATACTATACTCCTGTCCTATATTATACTCCTGTCCTATACTATACTCCTGTCCTATATTCCTGTCCTATTTTATACTCCTGTCCTATACTATACTCCTGTCCTATACTATACTCCTGTCCTATACTATACTCCTGTCCTATACTCCTGTCCTATACTCCTGTCCTATAATATACTCCTGTCCTATATTATACTCCTGTCCTATACTATACTCCTGTCCTATACTCTGTCCTATAATATACTCCTGTCCTATATTATACTCCTGTCCTATACTATACTCCTGTCCTATATTATACTCCTGTCCGATATTATACTCCTGTCCTATATTATACTCCTGTCCTATACTATACTCATGTCCTATATTATACTCCTGTCCTATATTATACTCCTGTCCTATACTATACTCCTGTCCTATATTATACTCCTGTCCTATACTCCTGTCCTATAATATACTCCTGTCCTATACTTTACTCCTGTCCTATACTCCTGTCCTATACTATACTCCTGTCCTATACTATACTCCTGTCCTATATTATACTCCTGTCCTATACTATACTCATGTCCTATACTCCTGTCCTATATTATACTCCTGTCCTATACTATACTCCTGTCCTATACTATACTCCTGTCCTATACTCCTGTCCTATATTATTCTCCTGTCCTATACTATGTCCAGATATACTACTGACTATATTATACTCCGTCCTATACTATACTCCTGTCCTATATTTATACTCCTGTTCCTATTTACTATACTTCCTGTCCTATATTATACTCCTGTCCGAATTATACTCCTTTCCTTATACCCCTGTCCTATATTTATACTCCTGTCCTATACTTATATCTATGTCCCGATATTATACACTACTGTCCTATATTATACTCCTGTCCTATACTATACTTCCTGTCCTATACTATACTCCTGTCCTATTACTCCTGTCCTATAATATTACTCACTGTCCTATATTATACTACCTGTCACTTACTCCTGTCCTATAATATTACTCCTGTCCTAATACTATACTCTGTCCTATATTATACTCCTGTCCTAATAATCACTGTCCTATTAATATACTCCTGTCCCTATATTATACTCCTGTCCTATACTCCTGTCCTATAATATACTCCTGTCCTATATTATACTCCTGTCCTATACTATACTCCTGTCCTATACTCCTGTCCTATATTATACTCCTGTCCTATACTATACTCCTGTCCTATACTCCTGTCCTATATTATTCTCCTGTCCTATACTCCTGTCCTATAATATACTCCTGTCCTATATTATACTCCTGTCCTATACTATACTCCTGTCCTATACTCCTGTCCTATACTATACTCCTGTCCTATATTCCTGTCCTATAATATACTCCTGTCCTATATTATACTCCTGTCCTATACTATACTCCTGTCCTATATTATACTCCTGTCCTATATTATACTCCTGTCCTATACTCCTGTCCTATACTCCTGTCCTATACTCCTATACTATACTCCTGTCCTATACTATACTCCTGCCCTCTACACTTGTTATGTGCATTGAATGGGTTTGCAACTGATGCATAGAGCAGTGTTTCCCAACTCTAGTCCTCCAGTACCTCCAACAGTACACAGTTTTATTGTAGCCCTGGACAAACACACCTCATTCAACTTGTCAACTAATCATCAAGCCTTCAATGAGTTGAATCAGGTGAGTTTGTCTGGGACTACAACAACAATGTGTGCTGTTGGGGGTCCTGGAGGACTGGAGTTGGGACCACTGGTATAGAGTGTATATCAATTATCTGTTCTGTCCTGGAGTTGGGACCACTGGTATAGAGTGTATATCAATTATCTGTTCTGTCCTGGAGTTGGGACCACTGGTATAGAGTGTATATCAATTATCTGTTCTGTCCTGGAGTTGGGACCACTGGTATAGAGTGTATATTAATGATCTGTTCTGTCCTGGAGTTGGGACCACTGGTATAGAGTGTATATCAATTATCTGTTCTGTCCTGGAGTTGGGACCACTGGTATAGAGTGTATATCAATTATCTGTTCTGTCCTGGAGTTGGGACCACTGGTATAGAGTGTATATCAATTATCTGTTCTGTCCTGGAGTTGGGACCACTGGTATAGAGTGTATATTAATGATCTGTTCTGTCCTGGAGTTGGGACCACTGGTATAGAGTGTATATTAATGATCTGTTCTGTCCTGGAGTTGGGACCACTGGTATAGAGTGTATATTAATGATCTGTTCTGTCCTGGAGTTGGGACCACTGGTATAGAGTGTATATCAATTATCTGTTCTGTCCTGGAGTTGGGACCACTGGTATAGAGTGTATATCAATGATCTGTTCTGTCCTGGAGTTGGGACCACTGGTATAGAGTGTATATTAATGATCTGTTCTGTCCTGGAGTTGGGACCACTGGTATAGAGTGTATATTAATGATCTGTTCTGTCCTGGAGTTGGGACCACTGGTATAGAGTGTATATTAATGATCTGTTCTGTCCTGGAGTTGGGACCACTGGTATAGAGTGTATATTAATGATCTGTTCTGTCCTGGAGTTGGGACCACTGGTATAGAGTGTATATTAATGATCTGTTCTGTCCTGGAGTTGGGACCACTGGTATAGAGTGTATATTAATGATCTGTTCTGTCCTGGAGTTGGGACCACTGGTATAGAGTGTATATTAATGATCTGTTCTGTCCTGGAGTTGGGACCACTGGTATAGAGTGTATATTAATGATCTGTTCTGTCCTGGAGTTGGGACCACTGGTATAGAGTGTATATTAATGATCTGTTCTGTCCTGGAGTTGGGACCACTGGTATAGAGTGTATATTAATGATCTGTTCTGTCCTGGAGTTGGGACCACTGGTATAGAGTGTATATTAATGATCTGTTCTGTCCTGGAGTTGGGACCACTGGTATAGAGTGTATATTAATGATCTGTTCTGTCCTGGAGTTGGGACCACTGGTATAGAGTGTATATTAATGATCTGTTCTGTCCTGGAGTTGGGACCACTGGTATAGAGTGTATATTAATGATCTGTTCTGTCCTGGAGTTGGGACCACTGGTATAGAGTGTATATTAATGATCTGTTCTGTCCTGGAGTTGGGAACACTGGTATAGAGTGTATATTAATGATCTGTTCTGTCCTGGAGTTGGGACCACTGGTATAGAGTGTATATTAATGATCTGTCTTCTATCTGCTGAACTCATATTCCTGTGTGTGCGTACTACTCCATATTTTGTGTTATTCTAGTGTTGCATATGTTTAGAGCTTGTGACATTTCATTTATAGTGGAAACTTCAAAGTTAAAAAAAAAGATATTATTGAAACGCTTTCATGATACTGGCAGTGCTTAGGCGTCACTCATCTCTTAGTCGTAGCTAAAACCAGCTTCGGCAGACACAGTCAAATGATCCTTGTGTTTCTCCCTCCAGCCGCCTCCTGCTATCTACGACAAGCAGCTGGATGAACGAGAACACTCCATCGACGAATGGAAAGGTAAACATGTCACGTCTTTGGACTAGATAGATCTGTTGTAATTATATTGCTAAGGAGGCCTCTTTATCTGAGGAGTACATTGGCTGCGTTTACACAGGCAGCCCAATTCTGATCTTTTTTCCACTAATTGGTCTTTTGACCAATCACATCAGATATTTTCACATGAGCTGATCTGATTGGTCAAAAGACCAATTAGTGAAAAAAAAATATCCAAATTGGGCTGCCTGTTTAAACGCAGCCTCCGAAGCTGGTCAACAATACAGTCTACAGTCGTGGTCAAAAGTTTTGAGAATGACACAAATATAAATTTTCTGCTGCCTCAGTTTTTATGATGGCAATTTGCATATACTCCAGAATGTTATGAAGAGTGATCAGATGAATTGCAATTAATTGTGTCACGATCGTCGTATGGAATAGACCAAGGCGCAGCGTGATGAACGAACATATTGAATCTTTATTATCTATAGTGATAATATACACGACAAAACAACAAAACGAAACGTGCAGTCCTACGGTTTAATATAACCAACAAGGAACAAACCAAAACGGAAACAAGATCCCACAAACACAAAGGGAAAACAGACAGGTTAAATATGGCTCCCAATCAGAGACAACCAACAACAGCTGACACTCGTTGCCTCTGATTGGGAGCCACTCAGGCCAACATAGAACTAGCACAACTAGAACTCCCGACATAGAAACACAACACATAGAATGAACACACCCTGGCTCAACATATAGAGTCCCAGAGCCAGGGTGTGACAGTACCCCCCCCCTAAAGGCGCGGACTGCGACCGCGCCTCAACTAGAACCAAACAGGGGAGGGCTGGGTGGGCATTCCTCCTCGGAGGCGGTTCTGGCTCCGGGCTTGCCCACCACCCTCCAATAATCCCCCCATAGCGCCCCTGGTCCGATCTGGCCCCGCTGGCTGGAGCTGAACTGGACATAGTAGGAGCGGATAGCTTCAGCTCCGGTGTGGAGCAGCCGACCAGTACCTGATCAGGCACCGGTGACCCAGGCACGGGTTGTGCCGGACTGACGACGCGCACCCCTGGCTTGGTGCGTGGAGCAGGAACGGACCGGACCGGGCTGACGATGCGCACCCCTGGCTTGGTGCGTGGAGCAGCAACTGGCCGGACCGGGCTGACGATACGCACCCCTGGCTTGGTGCGTGGAGAAGGAATGGGCCTTACCAGGCTGACGACGCGCACCCCTGGCTTGGTGCGTGGAGCAGGAACGGACCGGACCGGGCTGACGATGCGCACCCCTGGCTTGGTGCGTGGAGCAGCAACGGGCCGGACCGGGCTGACGATACGCACCCCTGGCTTGGTGCGTGGAGCAGCAATGGGCCTTACCAGGCTGACGTCTCGCACCCCTGGCTTGGTGCGAGTGGCAGGAACAGGCCTTACCGGGCTGACGACTCACACCCCTGGCTTGGTGCGTGGAGCAGCAACAGGCCTTACCAGGCTGACGTCTCGCACCCCTGGCTTGGTGCGAGTGGCAGGAACAGGCCGGGCCGGGCTGGCGACGCGCACCGTAGGCTTGGTGCGAGTAGCAGGAACAGGCCGGGCTGGTGACGCGCACCGTACACTTGGTGCGAGTGGCAGGAACAGGCCGGGCCGGGCTGGCGACGCGCACCGTAGGCTTGGTGCGAGTAGCAGGAACAGGCCGGGCTGGTGACGCGCACCGTACACTTGGTGCGAGTGGCAGGAACAGGCCGGGCCGGGCTGGCGACGCGCACCGTAGGCTTGGTGCGAGTAGCAGGAACAGGCCGGGCCGGGCTGGCGACGCGCACCGTAGACTTGGTGCGAGTAGCAGGAACAGGCCGGGCCAGGCTGGCGACGCGCACCGTACACTTGGTGCGAGTGGCAGGAACAGGCCGGGCCGGGCTGGCGACGCGCACCGTAGGCTTGGTGCGAGTGGCAGGAACAGGCCGGGCCGGGCTGGCGACGCGCACCGTAGGCTTGGTGCGAGTAGCAGGAACAGGCCGGGCCGGGCTGGCGACGCGCACCGTAGACTTGGTGCGAGTAGCAGGAACAGGCCGGGCCGGGCTGGCGACGCGCACCGTAGGCTTGGTGCGAGTAGCAGGAACAGGCCGGGCCGGGCTGGCGACGCGCACCGTACACTTGGTGCGAGTGGCAGGAACAGGCCGGGCCGGGCTGGCGACGCGCACCGTAGGCTTGGTGCGAGTGGCAGGAACAGGCCGGGCCGGGCTGGCGACGCGCACCGTACACTTGGTGCGAGGGGCAGGAACAGGCCGGACCGTACTGGGGACACACACCACTGGCTCTACACCGGGATCTGGAACGGGCCGGACCGGACTGGTAACACACCCCAGTACCTCTCGCCGTGCCTCTACACCTTCCTTCCCTTCCTTGACCAGTGACCCCCGTAACCTGGTGGCCTTCTGAATTCGCCCCTTGTCTGCCTCCGTCAGCCCCGTCGTCCATGCCCTGTGCCCCCCCCTAAACATTTTTTGGGGTTGCCTCTCGTCCGTCCGACGACGACACTGATTACGCCGTTGCTCCTCTCTCCGTCGCGCCTCTACCGTCTCACTCCATGGCCGGCGATCCATCCCGGCCAGGATTTCCTCCCAGGTCCAGGACCCCTGCCCGTCCAAGATCTGCTCCCACGTCCAGGCTGTCTGCTCCTGGACACGCTGCTTGGTCCTGTGATGGTGGGATCTTCTGTCACGATCGTCGTATGGAATAGACCAAGGCGCAGCGTGATGAACAAACATATTGAATCTTTATTATCTATAGTGATAATATACACGACAAAACAACAAAACGAAACGTGCAGTCCTACGGTTTAATATAACCAACAAGGAACAAACCAAAACGGAAACAAGATCCCACAAACACAAAGGGAAAACAGACAGGTTAAACATGGCTCCCAATCAGAGACAACCAACAACAGCTGACACTCGTTGCCTCTGATTGGGAGCCACTCAGGCCAACATAGAACTAGCACAACTAGAACTCCCGACATAGAAACACAACACATAGAATGAACACACCCTGGCTCAACATATAGAGTCCCAGAGCCAGGGTGTGACAAATTGCAAAGTCCGTCTTTGCCATGAAAACATTTCCACTGCATTTCAGCCCTGCCACAAAAGGACCAGCTGACATCATGTCAGTGATTCTATCGTTAACACAGGTGAGAGTGTTGACGAGGACAAGGCTGGAGATCACTCTGTCATGCTGATTGAGTTAGAATAACAGACTGGAAGCTTTAAAAGGAGGGTGGTGCTTGAAATCATTGTTCTTCCTCTGTTAACCATGGTTACCTGCAAGGAAACACGTGCCGCCATCATTGCTTTGCACAAAAAGGGCTTCACAGGCAAGGATATTGCTGCTAGTAAGATTGCACCTAAATCAACCATTTATCGGATCATCAAGAACTTCAAGGAGAGAGGTTCAATTGTTGTGAAGAAGGCTTCAGGGCGCCCAAGAAAGTCCAGTAAGCGCCAGGACCGTCTCCTAAAGTTGATTCAGCTGCGGGATCGGGGCACCACCAGTGCAGAGCTTGCTCAGGAATGGCAGCAGGCAGGTGTGAGTGCATCTGCACGCACAGTGAGGCGAAGACTTTTGGAGGATGGCCTGGTGTCAAGAAGGGCAGCGAGGAAGCCACTTCTCTCCAGGAAAAACATCAGGGACAGACTGATATTCTGCAAAAGGTACAGGGATTGGACTGCCGAGGACTGGGGTAAAGTCATTTTCTCTGATGAATCCCCTTTCCGATTGTTTGGGGCATCCGTAAAAAAGCTTGTCCGGAGAAGACAAGGTGAGCGCTACCATCAGTCCTGTGTCATGCCAACAGTAAATAATCCTGAGACCATTCATGTGTGGGGTTGCTTCTCAGCCAAGGGAGTGGGCTCACTCACAATTTTGCCTAAGAACACAGCCATGAATAAAGAATGGTACCATAACATCCTCCGAGAGCAACTTCACCCAACCATCAAAGAACGAACAATGCCTTTTGAGAACTTGTGGTCAATCCTCAAGAGGCGGGTGGACAAACAAAAACCCACAAAACTCCCAAGCATTGATTATGCAAGAATGGGCTGCCATCAGTCAGGATGTGGCCCAGAAGTAAATTGACAGCATGCCAGGGTGGATTGCAGAGGTCTTGAAAAAGAAGGGTCAACACTGCAAATATTGACTCTTTGCATAAACTTAATGTAATTGTCAATAAAAGCCGTTGACACTTATGGAATGCTTGTAATTATACTTCAGTATACCACATCTGACAAATATCTAAACACTGAGGCAGCAAACTTTGTGAAGACAAATACTTTTGACCACGACTGTACTTTACGTTTCTATAACAACTTTTCCAGTTAATTTGTTACCTTACCATGGTAATTAGACTCCTATAATGTAATCCTAGAACAGAGGAGAATAGATTTCTGTGCTGATATTTGAAAGATTCTTCTTCTGCCCAACTTTTCCTCCCTGGCTCTCTCTTTCTCTCTTTCTCGCTCTCTCGCTCTCTCGCTCTCCAGAACTAATCTACAAAGAGGTGATGAACTTTGAGGAGAGGATGAAGAACAGGGTAGTGAAAGGACAGCCCTCTACTTCAGGTACTCTCATAACCTAATCCCCTCTGTAAGTTGAATTATGAATATAATCACTCACTGGACATTTCTTGTAACAGAGAAATTCATCCGTGCGTTGCCCACCCATCTTTGTCTACCATCTTGTTTTTCCGAGACATATAGTGTAGAATTTGTACATGAGTAATTATATCTGTATGTAAAAGTATCGATTTAAACTGTCGATTTGGTCATTTTTGACCAAACATACGTGTTTTGTGTATGTACAATAATTAATCTGTGTTTGAATGGTATTAATGTACGCAATTAGGTGTTTAAAAATTAATATCTGTGACTCCAGTCTATATGGAGTAAGTGATTAATGTGCATTGATAAAAAAAATTTGCTGTCCACCTTTTCTATTGAAAAGGTCATATAGGCTAAATATATATACACTGAGTGTCCAAAACATTAGGAACACCTTCCTATTATTGCTCTCAGAACAGCCTAAATTCGTCAGGGCATGGACTCTACAAGGTGTCGAAAGCGTTCCACAGGGATGCTGGCCCATGTTGACTCCAATGCTTCCCACAGTTGTGTCAAGTCGGCTGGATGTTCTTTGGGTGGTGGACCATTCTTGATACACACGGGAAACTGTTGAGCGTGAAAAAACCCAGTAGTGTTGCAGTTCTTGACACAAACCGGTGCGCCTGGCACCTACTACCACACCCCGTTCAAAGGCACTTAAATATTTTGTCTTGCCCATTCACCCTCTGAATGACACATGTACAATATATGTCTCAATTGTCTCAAGGCTTAAAAATCCTTCTTTAACCTGTCTCCTCCCCTTCATCTACACTGATTGAAGTGGATTTAACAAGTGACATCACACCTGGATTCACCTGGGTCAGTCTATGTCATGGAAAGAGCCGGTGTTCTTAATGTTTTGTACACTCAGTGTATATTTATTATAGTGTACTTTCACATCTGTACGGTCACATATCATTAATTAAAGCTGGGGTCTTTGGTCCTTGCTCTTCCAGAGAAACATTAGAATTCCTCTTGTTCTGAACTGACCTTCTAAGATGTCCTATTGATCAATATTTTCAGCCCTATAAATATGTTGTAAAAAGTGTAGTGTACGTTCCCTTGAATGGCCACTGGAGGGCAGTGTGGAGTCACAAAGGCACAATATTGATAACATGGCGTCACTCCAGAGTCTAGTTTTTTTTTTTTTTTTTTACTAGGCAAGTCAGTTAAGAACAAATTCTTGTTTACAATGACGGCCTACACCAGCCAAACCCGGACAACGCTGGGCCAATTGTGCGCCGCCCTATGGGACTCCCAATCACGGCCGGTTGTGATACAGCCTGGAATCAAACCAGGGGGTCTGTAGTGACGCCTCAAGCACTGAGATGCAGTGCTTTAGACCACTGCACCACTCGGGAGTGATGCTGAGAGGAAAACAACTTGCCTCGGTCGTTCTCCTCAGCTATTTTCTGCAGAGAGCGTTTTCATACTTTACAAAGTCTCACTATGGAAGTTGTATTTGGGGATTGCTCAGGGTCTACAGACATCCTTGTTAGGGGCTCTGTTCTGTTACGGGGATAGTGAGAAGGCTAAACTGCTACCCTGGAATTGGTTTAATCCGCAGTACGATGCTGTATCCCTCCCTCTCCCTCTTTCTCTGTCCTACTCTCTCTCTCTCTTTCCCTCCTTCACTCCCTCCCTCCCTCCCTCCCTCCCTCATCCCTCGCTCTCCTTCCCTCTCTCTCCCTGCATTTAAGCAGATGGGTAGCCCTAGTACAGAGAACAGCAGAGAACAGACGCAGTGCTGAAGAGCCCCAGATGGCGATATTTCACACATTCAGCAGTACCAGGCTCCGGAGCACAGGCACATTACTATGTGTTGGTTACTGTTCTTTGGCAGCATTACTATATGGGATAAAAAAAACATTGAGGTAGTCTTAGATTATTTCAGAATTCCCCCCCCCAAAAAATAAATAAATATGTTTTTATAGATATCCAGAATTGCTTTGATATTTTGCAAAGGTGATGTGTCATGTTTGACACAGGATTCTCCAACTTCAGACTGGTTTTAGATGTTTTTTTGTTGAAGAATACGTAGTAGCCTACATGGATGTAGAAGCCACTGTGTGAGCGCCTAGTCCCTTCTTCTACTACTCTGTCTGTGTGTGAACCTGCCACTGTGTGGTTGGATACAATCGATGTTTGAGCCATGAATTGTGATTTAGCCTTTTTCGTTTTATTGGTGGTCAGCTGAAATGTCTCCCACTGTCCTTTAACCACCCGCCTGATAAACAGGAGATTTATGGTCCACCTGCACAGTGAAAATCACCTCACCGTTGGTATGCTCTGGACCGAGAGGGATCGTTTTAGCAAGCTCGCTTTTTCTCTTGAGTAGATTAAGGGTTTACATGTAAAGGACAATACAGACTGAGGGACTGTGGATTTTGAGGCAGAGATACACTACATGGCCGAAAGTATGTGGACACCTGCTCGTCGAACATCTCACTCCAAAATCATGGCCATTAATATGGAGTTGGTCCCCCCCTTTGCTGCTATAACAGCCTCCACTCTTCTGGGAAGGCTTTCAACTAGATGTTGGAACATTGCTGCAGGGACTTGCTTCCATTCAGCCACAAGAGCATTAGTGAGGTCGGCACTGATGTTGGCCGATTAGGCCTGGCTCGCAGTCGGTGTTCCAATTCATTCCAAAGGTGTTCGATGGGGTTGAGGTCAGAGCTCTGTGCAGGCCAGTCAAGTTCTTCCACACCGATCTTAACAAACCATTTCTGTATGGATCTCTCTTTGTGCACGGCGGCATTGTCATGACGGCGGCATTGTCAAACAGGAAAGGGCCTTCCCCAAACTGTTGCCACAAAGTCGGAAGCACCATGAAAAACAGCCCCAGACCATTATTCCTCCTCCACCAAACTTTACAGTTGGCACTATGCATTCGGGCAGGTAGCGTTCTCCTGTCATCCGCCAAAACCCAGATTCGTCCGTCGGACTGCCAGCACTCGGCGGTCCCGTTCTGTGAGCTTGTGTGGCCTACCACTTTGCGGCTGAGCCGTTGTTGGCCCTAGACGTTTGCACTTCACAATCACAGCACTTACAGTTGACCGGGGCAGTTCTTGCTGGGCAGAAATTTGACGAACTGACTTGTTCGAAAGGTGGCATCCTATGACGGTGCGACGTTGAAAGTCACTGAGCTCTTCAGCATGGGCCATTCTACTGTCAATGTTTGTCTATGGAGATTGCATGGCTGTGGGCTCTATTTTATACACCTGTCAGCAACGGGTGTGGCTGAAATAGCCGAATCCACTAATTTGAAGGGGTGTCTGCATACTTTTGGCCATGTAGTGTATAAGTCTAGATAAAACCAGTGAACTGAAATAGGTGCCGGGACTGTTTACATTCAGGAGCTCCACAATAGTTTTGAGCTAATATTCTACAAGAGGAACAGGAGCTCAAGCAGTGTCACGATCGTCAAACACAGTGGACCAAGGCGCAGCGTGATATGCGAACATACTTTTATTTATATTGACCCACACGAACAAAACAACAAACGATACGTGAAGTCCTTGGTTTACAACACAAAACCAACACGGAACAAGATCCCACAAAACACACTGTGGAAAACAGGCTGCCTAAGTATGGTTCCCAATCAGAGACAACAAGCAACAGCTGACACTCGTTGCCTCTGATTGAGAACCACCCCGGCCAACACAGAAACACATGAGCTAGATAACGAACCTAGAACACAAACACATAGAAACTACACACCCTGGCTCAACATAACAGAGTGCCAGAGCCAGGCCGTCACAAGCAGTAGAACATTTGAGGTGCCGGATCTCGGCTCCTGTGAGCTCCTGCACAAGTCAAGCACTGGATAAAACTATTCTCTATGGGAGATATTTGACAATAACAGAACACCTTTTGTATTCCTACCTCCCGCGGGGCGGCAGGTACAATGAGGGGGAAAAAGTATTTGATCCCCTGCTGATTTTGTACGTTTGACCACTGACAAAGAAATGATCAGTGTATAATTTTAATGGTAGGTTTATTTGAACAGTGAGAGACAGAATAACAACAAAAAAATCCAGAAAAACGCATGTCAAAAATGTTATAAATTGATTAGCATTTTAATGAGGGAAATAAGTATTTGACCCCCTCTCAATCAGAAAGATTTCTGGCTCCCAGGTGTCTTTTATACAGGTAACGAGCTGAGATTAGGAGCACACTCTTAAAGGGAGTGCTCCTAATCTCAGTTTGTTACCTGTATAAAAGACACCTGTCCACAGAAGCAATCAATCAATCAGATTCCAAACTCTCCACCATGGCCAAGACCAAAGAGCTCTCCAAGGATGTCAGGGACAAGATTGTAGACCTACACAAGGCTGGAATGGGCTACAAGACCATCGCCAAGCAGCTTGGTGAGAAGGTGACAACAGTTGGTGCGATTATTCGCAAATGGAAGAAACACAAAAGAACTGTCAATCTCCCTCGGCCTGGGGCTCCATGCAAGATCTCACCTTGTGGAGTTGCAATGATCATGAGAACGGTGAGGAATCAGCCCAGAACTACACGGGAGGATCTTGTCAATGATCTCAAGGCAGCTGGGACCATAGTCACCAAGAAAACAATTGGTAACACACTACGCCGTGAAGGACTGAAATCCTGCAGCGCCCGCAAGGTCCCCCTGCTCAAGAAAGCACATATACAGGCCCGTCTGAAGTTTGCCAATGAACATCTGAATGATTCAGAGGAGAACTGGATGAAAGTGTTGTGGTCAGATGAGACCAAAATCGAGCTCTTTGGTATCAACTCAACTCGCCGTGTTTGGAGGAGGAGGAATGCTGCCTATGACCCCAAGAACACCATCCCCACCGTCAAACATGGAGGTGGAATCATTATGCTTTGGGGGTGTTTTTCTGCTAAGGGGACAGGACAACTTCACCTCATCAAAGGGACGATGGACGGAGCCATGTACCGTCAAATCTTGGGTGAGAACCTCCTTCCCTCAGCCAGGGCATTGAAA